ATTATAGCATCTGTGGAACACAGGCGAGAAAGACATCATTACCTTTTTTAAAAAAAAAGACAAAACCACTCCCTCTGCTGGACTCAGTCTGAAAAAAAAAATGAATTATTCTTCAGCGACGGTGTAAAGCACGACTATCCTGAGAAAAATCACACAGATCTAGCAATAGAAGCCATGTTTGCTGAGCATCATCTTGTATTTCTAGAGAGCTTACACCCCAGGTATAAAGCCCTGATTATTTACTGTTAAAATCAACGTAAAGTGTCATTTAAGAGTGATTTGTTTGCTATCGGTCAAAATAAGAATACCAGTTTGTCAAAGAGAGACCAGGAAAAATTTTCTGAACAAGCACTGAAAAGCAAAAGTTGTACGAGAATGCGGTGACAGGCTTACACAGACTCAATTTACTTGAAGGTTCAAAGGGAAATTTTCAAACAGTTGCATTTTAGGGGTCATTAATAATCTTTTCATTGTGTACGGGAACAGAACTGCTAGAGAAAACAGTTGAGTCCAAGGTTCCCCTGAGCTACAAATCAAACAAATAAGCGAATCACAACGTAAATCCGCAGGTCTAATACATCACTAATTTAATTCTCTGAAAAACTGCTTGCTTGTATCTATACTAATTCAGGGCAGTAACATGTAATTCATAAATTCATCTAACCTTAATTCATACTCGCTCTACTTGTAGAAATATTATTAAATTAATATAACTACAATAGGCCCCATGTTTCATAAAAACGGAATTCAAATCATTAAGTTTCGTCCCTGAGTTTGTTCCACATTAAATATTCTTAGAGGATTTCAGCACGTTCTCAGCAGTAAGCAAATTAAAACAAGTTCTCAAACATGTTCAGATGTAAAAACCTCCTCCTCTGCGGAGTGGCAGGCTTTCTGCAGCAGGGCTGCTCGCTGCCGTCACCTCTGCGTACCGAAGTGCAAATCCTAACAAATCAACAGACAACCAAGACTGCGGAGAAATTAAACACGGCAATGTAAGCAGGCAACGCAAGTGAGAACATCCGTTGCTGAAGGTCTGAGAAGGAGGCGTTTCCTACTGGATACTAAAGTCAAGGAACCTTAGGAGTAATTATTTATAACAAAAGCGTGCAAAGAAATCAGGCTTATGTAAAGCACGCTGAAACTGAGGACTGACCCAATGGCAATAGTGATTTCTGATTCTTTAATCTATGCTATATACAGTCAAGTTTATGCACAATTAGACAGGGAAGAACACACACTGGTGATCTCGAACACACAGATGATCTCCTGGAGTAATTTTCCAGAAGCGAGCACCAGCAACTGTTGCAGCACAGTGAAGAGAACGCCTCTTCCCAGGGAGGGAGGATTTTCTCCGCAGGGTATGTTTGTGCACTGAAAGAGCAGTTAAAAGATTTCTACAAGGCCTTGGAGTCGCAAACACATTTGTGCGTTTAGTCTTTATCTCCCACATCCCTTATGGATTTCCAACCTGAGCAGTCAGTGAGCTGAATGCTAAATACAGCCGAGCTGAAACAAGGCAAGGCTGTCACGGGGACCAGGCGGGGAAAACGAAGTTATTCCACTTCAGGTTATATAGATTCTTCAGTTGGGGTTATCAACGTTTGGTTTGCTTCCTCCGCCTCCAAATAGATGCTCGCTTCTTTCCACTGAGCTATGCTGCTCCTGCTCACTGAAAACAGTAAATCAGCACTGCTCAGCTTGGGGCTGGCCCATCCAAGCAGCCAGGCCAGAGCCAGGAGCCGCACAGTCCGTGTGTGAGTCAAAAAGAACCCACCTGTGCCCAGGAAGGTGTTCTGCCACAGGGAGGAATGAGGTGGTTGGAAACGTGCGGTAGTTCGGCTGCTTGCATTGCACTGCCCTCTGCTGCTTGCAGGAGAAAAGTCCAGCCTTCTCTCTGTATTAAACTAGGGTGGAGGAAGGGCAAGAGGGTTTTTCCTATCGAAACAGATGAAAATATGATTTCGTTTTTAAGCTGATCTGAAGAGAGAAAGTGAGCAGATGGGAAGTATTTTGTCACTGGATTTTTCCAAAAGCATGCCATCTTTCTTGCTCTTATCCACCTGCTTTCTATCCATTTACAATTAAAATAATAACATGTCATTTTTCTCTTTTTTTTTTTTGTCAGCAGAGCTCCGAGTGCTTTACCAAGAAAATGCATTGCTATTCAGCCCTGCCGTTTAGTCCGCAGATGTTGGCTAAAACACATTTGCCAAGGCACGTGCAACTGGTACTCAGAGCAGAGAGCACGAGGTAGAGACCCACTGCTCTTACAGTAACAGCTGAGAATCCCTTCTGTAACACTCATCCTGTGACCCCTGGTATATTTTTAATGCCCCTCCTCAAATTTCTTAGCCTTAGTTTGTACCTACACCAGTCACATCCCAGGAGAAGACTCTATAAGACACACAAAGCAGAGGTGATGCTGCGTCAGCAGTATAAAAGACGTAACACTGCCGTGTGAAAACAACCTCCAGGCCCCTTTTCCTCCCTTAAAAGACAGACATCTGTAGGAAATCAGACAATATTACATAACAGAATAACAACTGTCAAAGCTAATCCCTTGAAAACTAACACCCTCAAAGTAGCCTAAAAGTCAGTGTCATTAGAAGCCTATTTTAAAGGAAATACGTATTTTGCATGTATAAACACAAACTACAAGCACCCAGTATTTTTTTTCAGCACGCTGCATGTCCCAGAAATGCCACACAGAGAGCCTTCAGCAGCCATTAACATAATGCACACACAAGAGATCTTAACTCTTTTGAAGAAATCAAATGCACAGTATAAAATGCACAGGAGTATTATTAGCAGAGAGCTCGTGTATCGCTGAGCTTCCCTGCATGCTAATAGCAAATCTGTGACAGTTTATAAGCATATGGTTTGAACATCATAGACTTTCTAGAAACATAAGTTCAGATCCTGGCAGGATCAACTCAGCTTGACAACCTTCTGCTATGTATCTTGCAGCAGTAACTGCTTCGCTGCTACTGTGTGATACAAAAATCTCACACACGGGCTCTCACCTGGGATTAGGGGTTGATACCATAGTAAAAAAAAAAAAAAAAAAAAAAAAAAAAAAAAAAAAAAAAAA